GGAGAGAAAGAAGAATGGGTGACAGAGGTGGGTTACCCTTTTAAACTGTTTACTATTTCCATGCATTATTTATATTCACAATTAATAATTATTTTTAAACAAACAAAAAAAAAGTTTGGAGAAAGAGGAAGAAATGAGCATGACAAGAAATTATCCCAGTAAAAATCAAAATTGTCTTCTAGGTTACATTTTAATTAAAAGCATTATTATTGATAAATTTCCCACCAATCCTGTTAAAATTGTTTAGATTTAAATTGTAATACGTTATTAATACTCATTTTCTTGAAAAAAATGACTTTATGCCTTGTTCATTTTCAAAGCAAAATTAAAGTGTTTGGAATTTAAAAAAAAATAATTTCACTTCTTGTGTAAGACCTGAGCTAGGTTGTTCTTTGTTTTCGGCCTGTCCACACGCCTTGAAACCCAACTGGGCTAGGTGGACTGCAGTTTGGCAGCAAGTCATGGAGGGACCACAACTTCCTCAAGACTCACAACCCACCCTCCCTGAGAAGCAGGAGAGCACAATGTGGTTAGGAACTTTTCTCTGGACTCAGGTGGAGCTTGGATTTAATCCTAACTCTGCCAGTTATAGACAGTATGACCAAGTGCAAGAACCTAACCTCTGTAGGCCTCATTCTTGCCATCTTTAAGATGAGGGTATTATGGTGCCTGCCTGGACAGGTCACTATGAGGATTCACAGAGAGGATTTCTGGAAAGTGTTCAACACAGTGCCTGGCACGAGGGAAGCACCAGGAAGTAATGAACCACAGTGGTTGGCCTTAGCCTCCCGACACAGTCTCAAAGAGAAGGCTGCCTTCAGTCATCTGATGATGACAACACACGTACTATATGCTGTGCACCAAGAGGTGGCATTTCACATGAGTTCCATGCATCCTCAGCACATCCCTGACTCAATGTTATCAGGGGCTAAGGGAGGCTCAGAGAAGCTGTGTGATGTACCCAAGAGCACACAGCTAGAAAGAGGCAAGGAGGAAGAGCAGGGCCCAAAGCCCCTGAGCTTTCACCCAGAGAAAAGGCCATGGCTCTTTCTGGGGTTTCTGAGCAGCTCCGCAGTAAGAGGGGCCTAGGCTTAGACCCACCAAACCACAGCACCCATGAGTGGTAGGGACTTTGAGAACCCTCAGGGCTGCAGAGAGAGAAACTTGTCTCCTGCCCTAGGCCCAGAGGGGTGTATTTTGTTTCCAAGAGAGTGCAGAGCACCTCCACCCCACTCTCCAGAAAAACTGGAGGCATCACGGTGGGAGGGCTACTCTCAGTAGAGTTTGGGGGACCAAAGCCTAGAGGCGCAGCCTTAGAAAACACACCTCCTTGCTTCACTCTGGCCACAAGAACAAGCACTCTATCATGTCAGTTCCAGCTCACACAATGGGGCTTGTGGTGAACCCAGGCCATAGTGGGAGCTCAGGCAACAGGAGATGTTGACCATCTTCTGGCCCAGAGGGCTCAGTGTGATAGAGGGTGGGAAAGGGCCTGGGTAAAACTTACGGAGACTCTTAATCCAGATTGAGGGGGCCTGGAGAAGGGGGCGCCTGGACTAAGTCTAAAAGGATAAGTAGGAGATGAGTAGGTGAAGCTAGGAATCTAGGCAGAAGACTCAGCATGCGTCAAAGTAAAGAGAGAAAGCAAGGGAATGCCTCATTGGGACACGGGGTAGGGTTGGGGCTGGTATCTGAAGACAAAGGTAGGAGGGCGTCTATTTCACTGGCAGAGCAGCGCAAAAGTGATTGCGGAGAGGTTGGTGACCACATAGTCTACCCTACAGGATCATTTTGATTTCCCAGGACATCCCAGCTTTCCGGCGGTCGCTTCAAAACCGGTGCTGCAAAAAGCTATTCCGCCAGCCAGGTTGGCCGACTTCCGGCTGGAAACGCGCGTGTCTCTGTGGAGGCCGGTCGCTAGGCAACAGGCCCCACACCCGTGGTGGTGTCGCCTCGACCGACTCCGCCCGCCCACAGCTGCTGCTCGCACGCCCTCTCCTGCCGGCGCCCTGCAAGTGCATCCAGCGTCAGGGAATTCCCGCCTACTGCCTTCCAGAACATTATTTTAGCTCACAGCCATGCCTCTGCCATTTGAGATACGCAGTGCTGACCCTGGCCACTAGTCTCTTTGCTTCCCATCCTTTTCTGCCTGAACCTGGCTGGCACCACCCCTGCAGAACCTGGGCTGGGCCAGCCAATGAGAGAGGAGGCTGGAAAGGTGGGCAGGGAGGGTGGGCTGAAGGTGTTGGTCTTTATTTTCAGAGCAGTAGGGAGCCATGAAAGGCATGTGAGCAGGGCAGTAACATGAGCAAATCTGTTGTTTCAATATTCATACTGCCGCTGGAAAACTGCCTGGAAGAGCAGGGCATTAAGGGAGCGTGGGTTGAATTGGCTGGAAGCGCTACAGGAAGCAGGGGTCCACTGACTCCACCAGGGTCAGTCACGGCAGTGAGAACCCATAGGAAAGGACAGAACATGGGGTTCACACCAGGGGTAAGGCAGGCAGGCCTCCGACCCTGCCCCACACTTAGTCTTTTCACCCCAGCAGACAGGAAAGATGTGGATCAATCTCTGAAGACTCATTAAATCTCAGGCCTATTGGAGAACTGAGCAACCCTCCCCTTCCTGGAGTCCTGTGGATGTGGACGCCTACAACAGGGCAACAGGACATTGCTCTTCTCCACAGGCCAGAGCTTCCCATCTCAAACCGCACAGGCTAACTAAACGTCCAGTGTCCTCGTATTGATCTGGAATAGTCAGGCTGTCTCGTACCTGTGTGCATTGATCAGGCATGGAAAAACAGCTTTATTAATTAATGCAGCTTAGTTGAAAAACATCTTTCAAAATATGGAGTCTAGAATAAAACAAAGTGTGATTAAAAAGTAGAGGCTGATCCAGCCCCACCTGACAGAAGGCCAGGAGTCCAGTGAGGGCAAGGTGAGTGAGGCCATGTGGAACCCAAAGCCAGGTCTTCTCCTACCTTCCCAGGGCTTCTGCAGCATTGTGGCCCCGGGAGACAGGACCAGCTTCAGCTTCTAAGCCAGGCTAGTCCAAAATCAATGTATCATCAGGTCCAGCATCACTGCGTAATCTGAAGCCAATGCAGACCTGCAGGCCTCAGCGTGCCTGGCTTTGCCCTGATGAAAGCACTTTGTGTCTATAAAGCAGTTAACAGAACTCCCAGGACTGTGCTTGCTCCAATGCCTTCCAACAGAGCAAGCCCAGGCCCTGGACCCTCAGCCACTACACGGATGTGGACAGAACAGAGTACAGTAATACCTTGGTTTGCGAGCATAATTTGTTCTGGAAACAAACTACTCACATTGAAGACATCGCTCATTTACCAAGTTAAAATGTATTAGAAACGTTTGCTTGTCTTGCAGAACACTCGCAAAACAAGTTATTAGCAATTCAAGGTTTTACTGTATCACTTCTCAATGATCCTCCTACCTACCACCTGTCCTAGGAGGATGATTGCCTGCCCACAGGCAAGATAGGAAGCAGGTAAGCCTGTTGTCCTGGGTGGCCCAGTGTTTCCCTGGAGAGAAGAGGATGCTGCTCCTCATGCTAGAATCTTTCCCTCCAGGTCCCCTACCCTCTTTCTGCCCCCTACTGGGAGCACCTAGCTTCACCTAACTTATTCTTACCCTTTAAGACAGTTGAAGCCATGACTTCTCCGGGCTTTCTCTGACCATCCCCACATCCCCTCTCTGTCCCAGTCCCAGTCCCATTGGATGGGATCTTTCTCCCACTTGATCCCATGTTCCTCACAGGCAGAGCTGGTGATTGCCAGGCTCTGAATCTAGTAGAGATATAGAATAACTTTTAAATGAGGGAGCAAATTAAACCAGGGGGAACAGCCCCAAGACCCTAAAACAGCAGAATGGGACCAAGTTGTTTTTTAAGAACATGTCCCTCCACAGGGACCATAAAAGGAGCTAGAGGACGGAAACAAAAAGAAACCTTTATATTTTATATGTCTGCATCCGATTTGCTTAAGAGGTATCCATTTCATAAAATAATAATATAAGTGAAAAATCTAACCTGGCCCAATCCTCTCACTTAACTGAGGTAAAGGGCGGGGGGGGGGGACATGCCTAAGCAAACACATAGTAGAGACAGGCGGACAGGCCCCAAACCCAGGCCCCAATTCCCCTACACAATGCTACATTCCACAAGGATTTAAAGAGAGAATAAACATTCCACAAGGATTTCCACTGCTCATTTTATTTCAACAGTAAACTGTTCCCAGAGAAGAAACGGCTGCGGTCATAGGTGCTTTGGAAGCACCATTTTATTCTCTGAGAACTACATCAGCGCTTACAAACAACCTCCTTTTTTAAGTTGGCAATTACTATAAAAACATCAAACAGTCAAACTTTAATAGATTTTTTTAAAAACTAGAAATAATACCTATAATAGCTTAAACTTTATGGAGGGGAGGTGAAGTAGCCCCAATAGTCACGATGCTTACTAGTAAAGCCCCTTGGAGAAGGGGTGAGGGGCAATGGCAGTGAGGTGGTGGGAGACAAGGCAGCAAGGAAGGACGCTGCTGTCAGTAACCTGGTCCTGGATGCTCACACTAGCCACCTGGATGTGCTAGAAGCTTCATGTGTGTGCTGAAATAGATGGTGCCTCCTGTCCTGCAGTGGGGCCTGAAGAAATCAAAGAACGCCTCTGGAGGCGAGTCTGATAAACAGTAGCACAACTCAGAGATTATTAAATTCATTCCTCAACATGAGCTTCCACCAGCCTCCCCAGTCCTCAGAGCCCTAATCCTCCCCTGATAATTTCATCCTCTGGTTTCCTGTTCAAGCCTACAGTATCTCAGGATTGAGAGAACTTTAAAAATTGCCCTCCTTCTTCTTATCTTAAGATGGGAATTAACTCTATCTTATGCCTATCACTATCCTCCCTCCCTACACATCACTCAACACAGATCAGAAAATCACTGCTGCCACGCCCCCAATGCCCCACTCTGCTAGCCCGAGGGCCTGGGCCTAATCGGACTGCTCCTGAGATAACGCCTGGTTGGGCTCATGCGGCATCTCGGCATCTTGGTCATCTGTGAAGGACAAAGAAGAGGGGCTGGATTTAGAAAGAGGAAAAATTACCTATTTTCAGGTGTAAATTTTCTACAAGGCACTCTCACCATTCCCAGTCCCTAGGGAGAATTAATTTGCCTTCAGTTTGCTAGGTGTCAGGTGGCTAAAATTCTAGTCTTCGCCACATAGTAACAGGCTCAAGTTCAAACTCCAGGTCTGCTTGTCAAAGGCTGGGTGTCATGAAGCAAGCTACCCCGAGCTCTGAACCTCAGGCTTCTCTTTCTGTCAAATGAGATGAAACCTACCTTGCCACATGAGGTCAAAAGTAAAGGAGAGCTAAATCTCATTAATGCCTTCATCATTTCAGATTTTGTTTAATCCTCAGAAGAACCTCATGAAGTAGGGACCATTAGTTCACTTTTTCAGATACTGAACCTGAGGCACTGTAGAATGAATTAACTTGCCCAAGGTCATACAGCTGGTGAGTGCTGGAGCCAGGACTTATACCCAGGCTGTCCGGCGCCAGCATGCTTCAAGCCACACTAGACCATCTCTCCAGCTAACAGATGTAGGTGTCTCAAACACAGCACGCGTGCAACAGGCCTCAGTTTCCTCTTCAGTAAAATGGGAATGGTATCACCAGACTAACCTAGCTCATAAGGTTTTTCTGACTGTCATTTTAAAGACTGTGTTGAGCTTGCCAACCCTTTCCAAATCATTTCTTTTTTTGAGGGGCCTCAGCAGAGGATTGAAAGGAAAAAAAAAAATCCTTGAACTTTTAAAGATGCAAAGCGTCCTTAAGAGAAAACCCAAAGCATTTCCACATCCAAAATTGCAGTTGACCCTCATAGTAACCCTGTGACAGGGCCTATTTTACAGATAAGAAGACTGAGGCCTAGAGAAGGGTGTGAGTGCCTGAGATCACCCAGTGCACCAGTGGCAGAGCTGCAAAGGACAGGGTCTCTGGCTCCTGGTCAGGTTCTCTCGAGTGGCCTGAGCTGAGGAATCATCCCTATCAGCCCCAAACTGGCTCCTGCGGCTGCTCCAGGCTCAGCATTTGTTGTGGCCCCAGCCAGAGAGGCCCCACCTAAGCAGAGAGGCCTGGCACCTCTGTTCTGAGCACACCATACACACTGTCCTCTACACATTTGCCCACAGGTGAGGGACTGGGAGCCTGAAAGAGAATTAGGTTGAAATCTGAGTTCTGCCATTTACATCTATGAGAACCTCTCGGGGTTCTATTGGTTTCCTCACCTGAGAATGGGGGCCCTCCTCCCTTGATGCTTATGGATGGTATTTAGGGGAGGGGGTAAGGAAAGAGCTTATCCCAGGGCCTAGCAGATTTTAATTCCTGTTCTGCGTTTCCCTTCTCTCCACATCCACTTCAGATTAGGTGCCCCACTTCATACAGAAAGTCTTCTGGCTCCCCTGGAAGCTGAAAGACTGGTGCTCACTTACCAGTGGTCTCCTTGTCCTCATCGGACATCATGGTCAGTGAAAATGATGACGGTGGTGTCAGTGGTGGAGGCGGCAGTGGTGGGAGGAAGTGAAGCGCAGAGAGGAAGCCTGGCGGGAGAAACGGGGGCTGCAGCGGCTGCAGCGGCTGCAGCAGGGGCGGCGGTGGTGGTGGCGGCGGCGGCGGCGGCAGCGGCAGCTGGTAGTAGTTTGGCTGGAAGTCTACCTCTGGCTCTGACATCTGCATGGCACACTCAGCAGAGAAGCCAGAGAGGGGAGAGGGTTAGCCAGGTGGGCTGATCAAACATGTCTCATTCCCTGGAATGGGAGGCCCCCCATGGGGTAGATTCACCTGTGTGGCCGAAACACCTGGGCACAGGGCACCTGGAACAGGGTGTTCAGCAAACACCTGCCAGATGATCGAAGGCAAGAGGAATACAGACACATCTCAGATAAGCCTGGGGAACAGCCACGCAGTCACACTCACTGAGCCCTTCTGTGGATGCTTAGATCCATTACCTCATTCCATCCTTAGAACCCTACAAGGGAGTTTCTTACCATCCTCACTGTAATGATGAAAAACAGCATCAGTGGGATGGAGCTACAGGCCCAGGGCCACCGAGCTGGCGAGTGGCTGAGGCAGAGCTGGATCTCAAGTCTGTCTGACTGTACTGCTCTGCACTGGGCAAGGGGTGAATGGATCCCAAACACCTGTGGTCCCATTTTCTGGAACATGTAATGACTTAAACTCAAAGGTCAGAGGGACTTCGGGAGCCCTACTCTAACATTACAGGAGAAGACTTGGGTGTACTGCAGCTGTCACTGAGTCAGGGAAGCTGGCTGACCTCAGAAAAGTGGCTTCAGCCATCACCCCTTCTGTGTTTCTGTTCCTTCTTCAGAAGATGGAAGCTAACCCACACCACAGGACCCCAAGGCTGGAAGGAAGGAATCTAGAGGGGCGATGACTACACAGCTCAGAACTTAACTGAGAAAGACACAAATGTAATACAAAAATTATAATGAATTTCAGATGTAGTTCCTATTACTGACTTCTCCATCCAGATACTTCACAGCAGTACTTCACAAGCTGCGTTCCGGAGAACCCTAATGTACTACAAGATATTTTTAAGTGCTCTTAAATGTGTTCTTTGTCAAGGGAGTTTGAGAAACCCCCCATACTGCCCCCACATTGGTGAGTCACGTGTGAGCATCTTAAAGCCTCAAGGTAGACTACAAAAATATCCTTAGATTAACCTAGCATTTCCCAACTTAATTTGACCACAAAGAAGGGGGAAAAGCCCACTTTTAAGTACCTACTCTGTGCCAGACCCTGTGCCAGGCACTTTACACGCATTACTCCTTATTTAATCTATCAACAGCCCTAGGAGATAGGCGTTCTTTCCCCCATCGAAGAACCTGAGTGAGGTCCTCAAATGTTAGGTGACTTCCCCAGACCATATGGCTAGTAAACAACGGAGATAGGACTGGACCCTAGGTCTGTCTGACTCCAGGCCTGTGCTCTTTTGTAGGAAGAGAACACAGAGGAGGCAAAAAAAAAAAAAAAAAAACCCAAAAACAAACAAACAAACAAAAACAGCAGGTGGGACAGGGACAAGGATAGAAGGTGGAAAATGTCTCTGGGGAGTATCTCCGAGACTGGGCAGGGGGCAGCAGGACAAGGATGAAAGCAATTCATAGGCTCCTGGGTTTGAAACAGCTTTACAAATAAATGCCGGTTCCTCTATCCAGACGTGAAGGGGGTGGGAGGGGAGATTATTAGTGTTTTAATTCCAAGCTGCTCAGCCAAGTTTCTCCCTGGATCACAGCTCCTGCCTGGGGCCTGTGATGGCAGCTCAGGCCCAGATAAACCAACTGAGATCACACTCTCAAACAAAGGCCGTCTGGCAGGCCTGTCAATCAGAGCCCGGCCCTGGACGCCAGGCTCCTGGCTTCTGTGTGAGCAGACGGTGGGTGCATGCTCCACTTGGCCAGGACCCCTCTCTTTGTGTGGAGGCTAGAGACGCTGTGCTCTTGCTGGGCTGCAATGGGGTGGCCAGCGCCCACAGCTTTCAGGCGGGGTAGGAGTGGTGATGAGAGTCACGTTTACTCTACCTCTGACAAAGAGACAGGCTTAGGGTAGCAGAACAGACCTGGGCTGCAGAGTCAGGATGACCCAGGTATACATCCTAGCTCTGCCACTGACTAGCTGTGCATGTTGAATACCAGTCCCTCACTTACCAGTTCTGTGACCTTGGACAAATACATAACTTCTCTGAGCCTTCTTCCTTTACTCTACAATGGGGTAATAACACGTACCTTGAAGACTCACACAAGGGTCAGTAGGCACCCTAGAAATGATCAAGACCAGGGTTTTCACGTTTTCCCCCCTTGAATCAATAGGAAATGATTTATAAATAAAATACACAATATCTAAAACAGACAGAAGAGATGCTGCTGAGGCTGAAGCAGGAGTGGGGAGATCCAGCATCCTGTGTGTCTGACTGCCTGGACGCAGCTGGAACCCCCATCATACTGGCTCCACACTCTGTGGCTAATGTCTCTCATTATGTAAATGTCAAGCTTTCATCTTTCTTCTTAATTGCTTTTCACATTAAACCAAATAAGCCTGCTCTCTCCTCACTCTTCACCACCTTCCACCCAAGGGAAATATCTATGTAACACCCAGGGTTAGGCTTTTAGCTCTGAGGGAGGGAGTAAAGGTAATGGTGGTCTACATTTCTATGAACTGGAACAACATTTCAGCCAACCTCTCTCTACCACAGGTCCAGCGTTTTGGGGCCAAAGTCAGGACTGGTCACCCAGGCCTTTCACTATCCTGCAATCCTCATGGCCCTCAGGGGTTGCCAAAAGGGAAGGGCTTTTAACCATCCTGGTTTGGAAGGAGCTGGTAACAAAGGCCACAAAACCTGGTCACCCCGACTCATACCTCACACCAAGGATGGCCTGCCTCTTACACACTCAGTATTCAAAACTCCAGGCTGAGAGAGCACAACAGTTAGTGACTGACCACAGATCTAATAAAAGGATTAAGTTTCATTCCGTCTTTCAACATATATTTCCTAAGGTGACAGGTGTTCGAGAGAAGGTTTCCATATTTTTCAGGAGTAAGCTTAAACACCAGTTTCTCTTGAAAGCCCTCTGCAGTCTCAAGTGGGCCATACCTTTGGGTGGGCATTTACATCTGCTTCTGGCTCTACCCTAAACTGTACGGCTCCAGGAAAGTGTTATTTCCTTTCTGGTTCCCAGCAAAATGAAGGGCCCTTCTAGCACCGGCACTCATGAGTCTAGGCTGGTGGTCACTCAGTCAGTGTTCCCAGGCTTATCCAAGATGAGTCTGTATTCCTTCCTGCCTGAGCTCCCAGAGCCTTTTAGCCCACAGCTCTGAAAAGCACATGCCACAGCCCAGGATGACCTACCTGCACATGACTGAACTTGTCTACACATGTGCACTCCCAGAGGCGCACACTGTACGAGGTCAATGGGCCTGGTACAGAGTGCGCACATCAACTGGCTTTCTGGGATTGAGGATATGTAAAAGCAGCAAGAGCAAATGGAATAAGGAGGAACCCAGAAAGAAGTCAGGATGGCACTCACCAAGCCTCCTCCATGATAGTGGTTATAGGACACATGCCGAAAGCCCCACTGCAGGGGGATCCCCGGGGATGCATCCTGGTAGCCCAGTGGGAACGGGTGATAGGAGTGCATGCTGGAGCAGCTGGGGTACAGCTTGAAAGGCTCTCTCTCCAGGTACTCAGACCCCACTGCATGATCCGAGTTGATGCTCAGAGGAAGCCCTGAAAAGGCATGCAATGAGTAAGTGTTAAAAACACAAAGAGCTAGGAAAAAGAGCATCACATTACTGTCCAACGACAGCAGTAAACACTCAGATCCATTTACAAAGAACTCCCACATCCATTATGCTTTTGACCCTCCCTGCTTTTTAAACCTTTCAACCATATTCCCTGCTCTTAGAAAAAGTCCTTGGCACAGCCATGAAGCCCCATGCGGGCTGGTTCCGGCCTCCACTCCAGCCTCCTCCAGTACTATAACCTAGCAATTTCTTCTTTCTCACCCACCTCAGCCTTTGCAATTGCTGTTCCCTGGGTTTGGAAGGCTTTCTCCCCTAAATCCACTTTGCCTGTTGAAGTCCTCAGTACTCAGCTGCTACTCTTCTTCCGTCACACCACAGCTAAACCATTAATTATTAGCGCTCTATACATTGATTTGTGTAACTCTTTGATCAGTAATGTCCCTCCCACAAGGACAAGATCCTTGAGGGCAAGGAATCTGACTCCCCCCCCCCCTTGTCACCACCTCATCACTGGCACATAACTAAGTGCTCAGTCTGTTTGCTGAGAGATGGAACAAAGAAAGGCACCGTGTCCATGGAAAGATATCCTCCTAGGATTGCTGTTTCAGGTCTGTCTTCCCCATCTAGTTCCCTAGGGACCTACATTTTCCTAGAATGTCCCATAAAGCAGAAATGGCCTTCAGAAGAGCACCCAGGCCAATCCTCTTAGCGTAAGAGGTAAGAGACTGCCACAGAAAGATGGAGCTTGCTTAAGGTGACAGAGTGAGCAGTCCCCAGCCTCCTGACTCAGACTTGTACTCTTTCTACCACAAGCCATAGGGAAAACCAATACATGTCTGCACTCAAAAGGCTGTTGTTTAAAAGCCTCAAATCTAGGGCTGGCCGAGTGGCGCGATGGTTAAGAACTGGCTTGAGACGCCAGAGGGCCCGGTTCGGATCCCACATATGAGGGCCAGTGACACTGCCCTCTACAGCTAAGATGCTGAACAACAGCTCAACCTGGA